TCTTTTCTTTTATGTTTGACTTTATCGTAAAATCATATCACTGTTTATGATTTTTATTCAAACTAGTGCATGCGAAAATAAATTCGGCTACACTGGCATTAGGTTACTTTGTTATTGGAGTGCGGCTTCTGCTCCGCCAACACTTTATAGGAATAATGTGACCTTTAACGAAGCGGACTTTTTCGAAGAAGTTCTATAAGTCTCCTTCTCTCGTATAGGAGAGAAGAAGTTCATTGTTCCTAAGATTTTTCGAAGACAAAATGGGAGTGAACTCTGCAGTGCAAGCCTTGGACCTGGGATTCTCAGGAATTTCAGGATTGCACGGTAAAACTAATTGTATTGACTACTCGTTTAGTTTTAATGTGACATTTTACGCATAAACATTTTTCTTTCATTAAGGTTCAGGAAGCGTTCGCTTTGCATTGTGTATAATTCAAATATTTGAGGAAAGAAGTCATCGAATCTTCTTTTCAAAAACGAAAGGTCAGCTTTTCGACCTCCTTTTTCCAATTCATAGTAGGTGTCGATTAGTTGTTTCGCCCAGGAGGTTTACGCGTTGTATAGCACTGTCGAAATTTATCATTACGTCCACCTTACTTCTCCCTCTGTTTTAGGGTTCAGCTATGCCCAAACTGGACAAGGAATGGCATCAATGTCCCATGTGCCTAAGTTCCTTCACATTTGACAAACTTTTACGGCACGTGAGGAGAAAGCATGGTAATGTCGGCAACGATGAAGCTGAATGGTTGGAATATACGGATCGCTTAGACGAGGCTCAAAGTCATGGTACAGTCATAGTTTCTTGTATAATTCCTAAATCTCAATACATTTTTACGGGATTGGTTTCGTGATTTCTCCATATCTATGTGTAGTAATGAAACCTTCCGCTGGTGAAGGTTGATTGAAGGCTTCTGTATTCACGTTGTTACGGGCAGTCAGTTCGTGAGGCGTAACGAGGAATAGACCGGGATGTTCTTTCGAGAAGTGTACTACATCCATGTCATGTTTTTTGGCGCCTTCCTGCTATGATTAAAACTCTGGGCTTATCTTATTTGAACTTGATATTTTAAATTTTCACTCAAATTTCTACGTACATTGGGTTGAAGAATAATCTGTCAGAGGACTTGATAATTTTGACGCTATATCTCAATTACCACATATTCTCTATGCTAAGAAGGTTTTGTAATTATACTTTTCTGAGATTTCTTTTTTAGCTTCTCCCGAATTAGAAACGGAGCACCAT